CACCATGCTGCAGCCAATATTCCTGTAATTTGGATGGGAATTTCTTTTAACGTGTGTTTTTCTTATCTAATCCACATCCGAATCAGTCGCACCTAGCGCCACCTTAGCAGTCCCTATTTTGCACTGTTTCATTCAGTGCTTTGCGCTCCAGTGCCACTAACGCTTAAAGTTGGAGCAAGCGCTTGCTGCATGACATGGATTAGATAAATGTACTTCAAAATATTTTAAGCAGACAGACGAAATTTAATATTTTTTGAAACAATTTAGAACACTTGAAGAAGCACACGTTGAGTTTGGTTACCGAGGGACCGTGGATGGTTTAACCAAACAACCGGCAGCGCTTGATTTAAGTTATGTTTTAGTTTGAAAATTATCACATAGATGACTACATAGCAACGCGAATGGTGAACATGGAAACCATCCTGTAACTATTTTGTATCATATGTGACAACGTCTGCGGTTTGTCTTCATGGTAACCATCAAAGAAAACAAACAATGTGCTTTTATTAAAACTATGTTTCGTGTTAGTTTGGTTAATATGAAGCCATTCCGCATACTTAGACCTGGTGTAATAAACATTTTTTTATGCCTGTTTTGCTGCTGTGCATCGAAATTCCCTGGAATGAAGTTTTCTTAATAAGAAAACAACATATCCATTTTTATATTTACAGTAATTGCCACGCCGCTCCTAAACTGTAAATGTCTTGACAAACTGAAGACTATTTGAGTTTCAATTTGTCGATTTGAAAATGACTGACAAGATTAAAGTTTCCTTCGAAAGATTTTGAAAAATTTAGTCATTTCTCTTGATAGTGGAGTTCATCCTTTAAATTTATAAAGGTTCTAACCTCATACTCATTATCTAAGCGTAGCAACTACTCGCTGCAACTACAGCGCATGCCTAAGCTATCTAAACTTCTTACCTGCGCATGGCACCGGAATTCCGCCCTGAAAGGAATGCCCTTGAAGGAGGTAACCCATCATGCCCTTAACTTAACTTAACCTAGTGCATGTTGCACCTACGGGCGACCTCCAACCGGGGTGGGTTGAACTACTCATGCATTATAGGGGATCCATGCAGGAGTGCCTTAATAGTCAATGTAGAATGCCGTTCATGAAATTGGACAACTACAACGACTGCATGCTCTTACCGTACTAGGGGAGAGATATTTTTCTTTCCACCAATACCACGATCTTCCCTTGGTCTTCAATAGGCCTTGCTCGCTTGATCCAGACTTCAAAGGTCTTCTTACAGATGCTATTTGCATCCTCTACGCTAAGGTACCATTTGTACCCACTAACCCCAAGTTGAAGTTGCCTTCCTTGGGCCAAACATCACTTGCATTTCCGATTCTAAGCTATGGTCCTGCCTATCCTTCTGCGCAGCAACATACGCTGCGATCATGCGTAGCTCCTTAAAGCAGTATATTCACACAGAGGTTTTTCGAAGGTAAATTATATAGAACAACACAATTGTTGCATGCCAGTCACAGACTTGAAATAGTTGATACAAATTCACGCTTACTAAGACACAAATTTTTAAAATAACTAAAGCAGCACCGATAAACACTATTGGATTATTTTAACCAAAAGAACACTTTTATTACCTCTTAATCAAGACTATTTTTGAAAATGCAGATAGAAATTTCTTTAAATATATTTATTTGCATTCCTGCATTAAAAAAAATAGCCTTACAGTGGAATATACTGAACACCAGGATTTGTTGTGGCTATTGCCCGAATTATATTAGAGATTTGACCTGTTAACAGGCCTAACTAAATAAAAGGTTTATTATTATTACACTTACGGTTTTCGACGAATCCTTGGCAGTTCGACGACAGACTACGATGAATGACAAATCTCATGCCAATTGTGAAGATGAAACGATCGGATGTTGAGCAAGGACAGCCACAAAAAAGCCCAAAATAATTTTTGAAAATTCAGAACGTTGATGGTGAAACCATCGTATCCAATTTTCAGGCTACCTGACAAACATCACCGCTTTTATGTCGACGACGGCAAGCACAGAAACAAGATTGGCCATTTCTTGCAACTGTGCATGTCGTCTACGGCATTAAATCGGAAATATCGACAGCCAGTCGGAAAATTAGGATTTTTAGGTTTTTCATTTTCATGTTAAAGAAATTCCATGTTTTTATTACAAAAGTTTCAATTAAATAATGTTGACATTTGGGCATTTGATAGCGGCGTGGTTTTATCCATCATTGCGATTGATTGACCAGTCGTGATGTTAGCAGGAAAACTCCCAGGAAAATGTTTTAGAAAAGTTCATAATATTGACTTTTCCATGGAAACAGGCGTTAGGCTGATGGATGCATTGCTCCAGAAGAGTGTTTAGCATTTGCATTCTTTGTAGATGAAGTCTTTAGGGCATTAGAAGTCGCGTATTTTTCAATTTCATCAAAGTATATTGTCCATTCTTGATCATTGTTCAGAAGAGTTCATTAAAGTATATTGTTCATTCTTGATCATTGTTCAGAAGAGTTCATTAAAGTATATTGTTCATTCTTGATCATTTTTCAGAAGAGTTCATTAAAGTATATTGCTCATTCTTGATCATTCTTCAGAGGACTCGTTAAAGTATGCTGTTCATTCTTGATCATTGTTCAGAGGATTTCATCAAAGTACACTGCCCATTCTTGATCATCGTTCAGAGGTCTTCATTAAAGTAAATTGTTCATTCTTGAGCATTCTTCAGAGGACTTCATTAAAGTATGCTGTTCATTCTTGATCATTTTTCAAAGGATTTCATTAAAGTACGTATATTGTCCATTCTTGATCAGAAGGTTTCTACATAGGACAATTGAAGCCAATGTCAGTTCACACTACTATACTTCCATAAATGAAAAACATTGATAACATACTTACATTGAACATTTTATTCACTAGTAATGTAGTTCATGGGAAGAAGAATTTCAACCAAATTACAGAATTGTATTTTGTTCTTATGTTTAGATGAGCGTCGGGGAATTGGTCGACAACAGCCACAATTCTCTTCAACCGCTGTGAACAATAACCACTTTCTTTAATTGTGAAGTCTACGATCATGGTGAATACACCAACATTTGTTTGTTGTTTCTCAATCTCATTTGATGACTAATTGTCGTTTAAGAGAAGAATGTCCATGTCTAAAATCAAGCATAGAGGAAACAAAAGTTACTGAGACGAAAACTTTATGGAAAGGCCACACTGCACTTTGCATTGATGAACATCACATGTAGTGTCCCAATTCAATGTTTACTCAATGCAAAAGAACTTGAAAGAAGACATTTACCTGAACAATTTTTCAAAGCACTCCAAGAGATATTTCACCTTGGAATAACTTTGACTTCGGCTAACTATTCTTCGTGCAACTACAGACTTTCACGTTCAAATGGCATGTTCTTAGTCTTAGACTGTGGCCCAAGTTTCACGAACGTGTTGTATTCTGATTGGTCAGTGACTAGGTGTGTTGTAAACGTGTTGTGTTCTGATTGGTCATTTACTAGGTGTGTCCTAAACTGTTGTGTTCTGATTGGTCAGTGACTAGGCGTGTTGTAAACTTTTGTGTTCTGATTGGTTATTTACCAGGTGTGTCGTCAATTGTACATTGTGAAATTTAGAATTTGCATGATTCATCACTTAGAAGTAATTAATCCCCATAGAGCGGTAAATGCAATTTAATACAATATAAATAAAAACGTATACTTCAGCTACAGCAAATAGCAAATCTCAAACATTTAAGTCTCCTTGGGGAACAACTACAGCTGAATCATGCAAATTCTAAAGGTCCACTGATGTCAAAAATGATTTGATAAACCCTCTAGATTGTTTTCTTCATCTCATTTTCTTATTGTATTTATTAGCATTAACATTCGATCTCTTTTAATTAGCATTCTACAGGGTGTATATAAAACGACGTTTGGCAATTAAACTACTGTAAAATTTCGAAATCCAATCACTGTGCTAACCTCACCAGTGCATTTCATTTTCAATGAAGGAAAATCTTTTCTTCTTGCATCAACGTAGCTAACAATGTTCCATGCACCTGTGGGCTTGGCGTAGTGACAGACATTGAAATTAAACAAAGATCTTCAATGGTAAATGAAGGCTGACCAGCTAGTTTTGCACACATCAAAGGAATGTACCGGATAGAAAAATATTATTACAATGTATTTTTTTATTTTATTGTTCAACTATCAGCCGGCATTTTATGTTGTCCCTTTTAAGAAATTTTCAATCTCCATGCGACAATAACTTTTCATGGCAACTTTTTTTCCGAATCTTTCCACATTCACTTTTTTGAGTGATAAAAATGAAAAAATTTAAGCGCCTTCAAGTGTTCGATTTTCAGGCCAGCTGACAAAATTTTATCTACTAGTTCCCAGTCTTCGGCACCCAACGCATGCCTAAATCGTTCCACGTCCATGCCACCAATTCTTAAAGGAGATAATACTCTAGAGTAATGATATAAGTCTCTTTTTAACCCAGAAGATTAATAGATTTTAAATGGAAAAAATTATTTTCTATTTTTGATCTTTTGAATTCATTGTTTTGAGTATCAATGTAGACAATGTAGTCCCTGTAAAATAGGGTGAGGTTTTCTTTTTTGGTGTCTTAAATGCCAAGATTTTATTTAATTTTGATTATTGATACCTTACATTATACATACGAAAAACATACTTATCCCAGTCTGACTTGTACAGTGCTATAGGTCCATACCCATCGTGTTCCCAGCGCCTATTGGGATGATTCACAGTATAACAACAGTCCAGACGAGTCAGGAGTGCATTAAATGGGATTGTTTCTCTGAATACAATGCTAAAAAACAACAAATACCAAACATTAAATGAAAGATATTTCAGTATTTTATCATTACATCACATTCTCTGTCATTGTTTAACTATATTTTAGTTAAAGTAACGACAGTTTTTGTTCTGTTTATTATTCTTATTATTCATGATAAAATACAAATGACCAATACCAAACAAAATCAACCTTGTATTATCTAATTTTTATTCAACTGTGAATGATATAGGTTTTGACACTAGTCAAAAACTCTTTAAACTTTATGTGAACTAATGACTGTTACTGTTCTTCCTTTCTTCACTTAAAAAATAAACCATGTTTACTGTGTTTGCAAACGAAGGAGACCTTTTGAAGAACTTGCACCTGGTCGACATTCGGCCTCAGTTTTGAACTGATCTGCTCTCAAGTTCTCGTAAAAGGTTTCCATAAGCCTGTTCAAATACAGTAAGTCAGTAAACACTCTTTAATTCTTCAATACGATATATATTGCAGCATGCATAGCAGGTGAGCATTTCTACTTGCTAAGAATTCCATAAGCTACAATCAAAATTATAACTTTGGTACTTTAATTTTTAATTCATTATTATTTTACCTAACGTTCGTTTAATATAACTAATTTCACCTTACATATATGATCAACAATAATGACAGGCATGGACAAGTGTAAATCACACATAAATACAATATCATTTGGATTTGTCACCACAGTCATAGCATACTGTAAACCAATTGATTTATGAAATTTAGACTTCATGTGGAGCAATACATATCGGCGTATTCAGCTCTTTTCCAAAGCATGTTTGATATCATCGTGAGAGAATCATCGTGATCCTTTCATTTTGTGTCCCAGATCCTTCAAGGCAATGAAAACAGACTCTAGAATATTGTCATGAATATAATTTTTCTCATTGTAAACTGTATTAGGAAACAGTTGATGATGCAAGCGACCTCTTTCGATGGACTCCTCAAGTCTCAAACCAAACCAAAGCTTATTTAACAAAACCTAAAAAAGTATTGTTGCCATGAACTTTCGAATGATTTGATTCACAAATAACAAACTCAGAAATGAAAAATGTAATAATATCCATAATGATATGTACTGCTTATCGCTTGTAAAATTAACTATTTCTGTCAAAGGGAGTTGAGTGGGATGGGGTGCTCTGGGGGTAGAAATATCGTGTATTTGTAATAACGGATACGTTTTCATATTGCTCGACCAAAGAGTTTCCAGTTACAGCGGGCTAACCACGTGACACGTTCAGTGAAGGATAAAAAAAGAGCAAAAGATACAAACATTTAAAACAGAATCATCGTTACTTACTACAGCCACACCAGTTATTATTCTCAATCCACCCGAACCACCAAGAACCATTTTCACGTCACCTTTTGAATCAACAACTATAGTTGGACAAGCTGTTGATACAGAGCGTTTCCCAGGCTGAATAAACTTGGCTTTCGACGCTTTTGGTTGATAATTTTTTGATGTGTTTGGTAACGAAAATGAACTCATGTGATTGTTGTAGACTATCCCTGTTGTATAGGATCAAATGTTTGCACCAAAACTGAATAAAAAAAAGTAATTGTATGTGATTATAAATAGCACAAGGAAAATGAGCGAAGCTGCAAAGCAAACTGCTAGATGCATGCAGGGTTTTGACGTAGTTGCGTTTCCATTGGAAAGATTTTTTTGTGTGCTCCAGTGTAGTGTTAACTGTGTAAAATACTAACATGATCCTTAAGCTCAAACAATAAATGCAGTTGTGTAAAAGAGTGGTAATTGACCGTCCATCACCGTAGCCAATACAAAGAGATAAAGTTGTAGCTTTCAAATTGAACTATGAAAATGCTTACAAATAACCAACTGTGCTAAGTGACAGACACAGCATCTCCAGTTGACAAAATTACTGATACATGTGTAGTCCCAGAGTCTTTTCTGGTGGAGTAAAACCGTTCATAGTAAAAACTATCGTGTGTTTCATTGTTCCATATCTTTGTACGCAAATCTTCAGCATATGTTGTATTTATTTGAACATCCTGTGACTGGAAAATAAAAATCACCAATCTAAGAAAGTGATATTATTATAATGAAACATAATCCGAATGAAAAGTTCATGTTTAATTCAATATTTGAGAAAAAAAACTTAAGACAAGAAAAACAAGACAATTTTTTATTTTAACAGTAATATTTCGAATTTATTACAAATTCATCATCAGAGTCTACATAGAATTGACTTGTTTTTCTCACATATTGAGTTAAACATGAACTTTTTATTCGGAGTATGTTTCATATTATACTAAGAAAGTAAACATGTTTATATTTTATATGATATAAGGAGTTTTTACTTTATCGACTGTTACTTTCATGATTTCTGGGGTTTATAAAACAGTTTTTTTTCTCTTTCGTTCGTTTATCACTACCTACACAAAATAATGTTTTTCTATTGTCTTAAACGTACTTTTCCAACATTAGGATAAAATTCTGGATCACCAATGAACGGACGATAAGCATACCCGAACTTAAACGCCTCCAAAATTCGATGCCATGTTAGTGTCTGCTTGTTCCCTGTTATGGAGTCGGCACCAAACTTGAAACCTAAAATAACAAAGAAGTCGTCAGTGAAATGTGCATTCAGAACTAACATATGATTGATAAACGCTCATTAAATTTACAAATATAAGTTGTTATGACACCAGTTTCAACTAATATTTACTTTGACAATAGTCTAATGTTATTCGGTTCTATTCGTGAACAATGACAACCAAACCTTTTAAAATGTTAAGTATCATTAAGGAGCTGCTCTAATTGATAGAGATTTATCTCTCATAAAAATTTTCAATGTCCTTCCAGCAAGCCGAATATTTTCCAAATTGAAAGGTGCTGTTCATGAGGTTATTTCTCGTGCACTGCAGCAGATGTGGAGGATCAAACATTACAAATATTTTTCTTCCATTGTGAACAAACCATGGCTTCTCGTTGGTGACATTCAATTTTTGTGACATACTGTAGAAGTTGGACCCAATATCTGATATTACCACACAAATGTTCAACCCAATCAAATGAAGATTGCGAATGACTTCTTTGATCAAATCTTGCAAAACATCAACTGGACAAGATTCATTAACAAGTAATACTCCAAAGGTTGCTTCCAACCTCCAGATATGCTTCGAAGCATGAATACAAGACCTGATGTTGCCAATTTTTTGTTCGATATCCACTAAAGTCCTCTACTCCAACAATCTTATCGTCTGTGATGTTGTAGTAAAGGTGTGTTTTTAATGACATCTCATCAACACGAAGAGTGCACAGCTTTTCCATATCATTCATGTAACACACTTTTTCTTTCAAAAGATTTAAGGTTGCCTGAGGAATACCAGCTGCTATTGGAATTCGTGAAACAAACCGTCTAATTGAAGACTTTGTTGGCAGAATAAACAGCTTGGAGAGGAGGCTATACGCTTTGCCACTAGTATGATACAATGAAACTGCTAAGGACTTCATTTCTGGTGAGTACCTTCTTCCATGTTTTTTTGTTTAATGTAACTTCAGTTGCAATTCTTTGAAATTAGCCAGTTGATTTGGTAATTTTTTCACTTCAGCATAAATTGACTGGTTGATGTGTCCTTTTTGGCAAATTTTCTAACTTTTGTATTAAGCCTTGCAATTACTTGCTGCTTTACTTTCAGCTTTCTCCTTTGAATTTTTTTCTAGGTGTGTCATTTGAAAGTGAGGAAGGTGTTTGACAGCAGAAATATTTCATTTCTGTGTCTTTTCCATCTGCTAAAATTCAAGATATCAAATAACTAAACAAATTTAAATTGTTTGCTTGAGATCATCTTGACTGCATGTGTCATATACCTTTTTCATTATGTGAATGTGGTTCATCTTCCACCGAAACAGTTGGTACATCATGTACTACAACACTTGACACCTCTGCCTCTGATATACGTCTTTATGTGCCTAAAACTGAGTGTCTCTTAGTAAAAACTGCTGAATTTACTTCCATAATATAGTGAAATACCTAATTGACAATTACCTATTTCTTCCTTGTGATATATCAGTGCCATCAATTTTAAAGTACCTTTTCTAAAAAAGTTTTGATTTCTGATGCTGTTAAATCATCTAAAGTGAGTTTGAACTATTCACACAGACTTGAAACCACATAGTCATAAACCCAAGGTTTTAAAATGCATGGTGGCGGACCACCTTGCAAAATGGAGGCAGCCATAAGATTTCCAGCACACAAAAATTCATTCTCTGTCATTGCTGATGTTGAGATATTGCGAACACCAGTAATGAACAGTCATTGTGTAATTTCTTTAAGAACTTCTGAAAACATAAAGAAGGATTTTTTAAATGCTCTTACATATAAATATGTAACAATAACTGTTTAAAGGCAATGGACTTTTGTACTTTTTAAAAACAAAAAATGGATGAGTCAAACCTGTTAAAAATTCTTTCCTTGGTCTTCCAGTACCTTGAGCAGGCTCACCAATAAAAACTACTTTAAGTTTATTTTCATCGATAGTCCAGCTACAACATTTTCTTGTCTCAATGTAATCAGCAAATAGCTGGCCTCTCCTTACATTTATTCTTGATTGTGCTTTGAGATTTTTCAATAAGGGTTCAAGAATATCTGAAATTGACTTCACACCAGTATCCAAACTCACATATTCAGTGACATCTCTACTTGTGTTTCCTTCTGCAATGCCATCTGGAAGTTCAAATTTTGTTTCTTGATAAAATGCCCGTCGATTAGCATTTTCTGCACATATGTTCTGCATGTAACACAATGTCTTTATCTACAAAATCTCCATGACAAGTGGGACACTGCACATAATTTTTTTTATTTCCAGGAATTGTAGGGCAATGCCCAAATGGCGAGGCTGTTTGGGAAGACTCGTTTCTTTTAGAAGTCAAAGAAAAATCAGACTTTGATGTTGACAAGCCATCTCGATTTAGTTAAAAGGGCATAGTAGGCTCATGGGATATCTCATCAGGTAAGGAATGAAAATCATAAAATTCATCATCATCAAAAGACACTACTGAAAGATCTACGACTTGTTTTTTTTATTTCCTTCAGTTTCATACCTATTTTTAGTCTTTTTTAAGTTGACTTTGCTATCAGAACAAAAAATTGATCACGATCAGAGAGTTTTTTATGGCAGCCGCCAGTACTTTCTCGCTATCAAAATCTTTGCAAACTTTTACAGGTAATTTGGAGCTTCTTTTCGCTGTTAGAATACCATCGTTTTCGGTGATTATTTCTACCTGTATTACAACCCGATTATCCACAGGCTTTTTTGAAGGTGGACATTGGCTAGTTGATTTCCTTTTCGATGACGAGCTCGAGATCTTCGTGTTAAATCGGTAAATCCTACTCTACATTCTCCTTTTATAGACATGTAATGGTCTAATGTCTTCGCCTGATTACATACCGACACTTTTGCTTCTACTTTAGATCCGCATTTGAAACAAAACCTGTCCGTAAAACTTAGTTCATTTCCACAAGTTCCTTTTTCCGCCATTTTGTTATTGAAATGACATGTCTTAAAAGTTTTGTGAACATACTTCATGTTGGACAACATTTAGGTGTCTAAATTCTGATCAAAAAATATTTACGGATTGGAAAAATCTTTTCGGATTTTCAAAGTATTTTCCGATTTAGAAATATATTTTTACATTTTCGATATATAATTACAGACTGGAAATATATTTTTGGATTTGAAAAATATTTTGCGATTAAAAATATATTTTCACAGTGGCCCTTCTCGGCTTCCGTATAAAATACCAAGGAAATGGTAATAAAATTCAAGCATGTTAACAGAAACAATAAAAATCATAAGGCCGTGTCTTTGTTTTACATAACAATAAATGCCCAAAATTATATGCCACGTATCAACTCAAACGACGCTGACATTTGAAACTTAACTCTTCAGAACGTTAAATCTATCTAAATGTTCAACTGTTCAAAGCTTCATGCCATTAACCAGTAAAAGGTTTGTAAAACAAAAGATAAAGAATTTTCGTGCTCGATTACGACGTATAAATATGCCCATGGAAGCTTATAATTCTGTAATTGTAGATTGATCAAAGTCAAACAAAGTTACAATTGCAATCAACAACAATTTGCTTACCAACAACAAATCATTGCGATCTTAAACAAGGTATGTTTACGTTGATGTGTTTGTTTATACAGAAGTTAAAATGATTGTTATAGTAACTATTAGTCGTTGGCCCACAAGGTCTGTTTGTAAAATGTTTTATTTAATTTTTCACCTTATGGTTTGTGTTATTATTGAAGGAAATTTATGACTCGATTTTTACTTTGAAGTCGCAAATGCATAAATATGCATGTCATTGGATATTTTAGACATTTAAGTCCTATTAGAAGTAGAAATATTGATCAGGAAGTGTGTTATCTTTGTGATAAACTGGTTTGTAAGTCCACATTTTAAATGCGGCTAAAGAATTTGCAAATCCTTTTGACGTTACAATTGTCTTTCGTCAAGCTTTGGTTGCGAAGGTTCGTGTATGCAAATTCATCGCATTATAGTTACAATAAATTTAAAAGCAGATATGAGTATTGCAACTTATTAATTCTTTTTAACTCTCCCACTTTATGGTCATATCTTAAATTGAACGAGAAAAAGTTGCGAAATCAGACATTGTAAATTTTCATACGTTGAGTATGTATCTGAGGTTTATCACCACGTACTTACTTCCAAAATATCTTAAAAAACGGTATAATTTTGTAAAATGTATACTTATTTCTATTGATCAATTTGACCCAAATTATATTCAAACTTATGAACAAAAACAATAAAAATTATAAAACCATATCTTTGCTTTACATAACAATCTATTCTTAAGATGTTTTAAATTCCGTAGCGCAAAATAATTTTCCACATATCGACTCGAAGGAATAATAAATGATGCTTAACTTGTCAGAACTTTAAATCTTTCTAAAAGTTCAACTGTTCAAGGCTACACGCCGTTAACCAGTATAAGGTTCGTGAGACAAAAACAAAGAATTTTCATGTTTGATTACGACGTACAAATGTGACACATGGAGGCTTGTAATTCTGTAATTGTAGATAAATCAAACGAAGTTACAATTCCAAACAAGAACAATATGCTTACCAAAAACTAATCACTGCCATCTTAAACAAGGTAAGGCTTATTTTAAAGTATATTTAATTATTTATGACTCACCACGAAGTACATTTACTTTAAAATAGCAAATGGACTCATGAATGTCATCATTGAATAGTTTAGATATTTAAGTCGTTTTCGAAGTAGCAATATTGATCAGCAAGTGTGTTTATTTTTGTCATAAACTATAGCATCGCTTATTAAATTTTGTAACTCAACATTTTAAATGGCGCTAAAGAATTTTGCTTATCTTTGTGACGTTACAATTGTCTTTCCTCGATGCTAAGTTGTTGACGCTAAGGTTGTTATGTGCAAATTCATCGCATTAAATAATACAATACTGAAGATCTCTGATTTCCTATCAACTTGATAACCTTATAAGTACAGCTAGGCAATCAAACAATTCTGCACATGTGTGTAAAAGGAAGCATGCATATGTGACGTCATTCTTGTCACGTGTCCTAAGATATGAATATTACAACTTATTAATTCCTTTAACACTTCCTTGTTAATAGTCATATTAATAAAACTAACAAATCTTCATGACACAAAATTAAAACTTATCATTGTTCTTTGACTTCAACTACTCCCAATAGCTTTGTAAAGTTTTGATATTAAACTTTTGAGAGTCTTTTAGTTATTATATCACCAATCATGTCTTCTGTTTGGCAACTCTTGAAAGAAATGATGTTATTTTTGACGTGTTGTCACACATAGTGATACGACACATCTACTGTGGTTGACCAAAAAAAAATGTTCCCGGAATGAAATATGAGTTTTGTTTGTAAAATTCATGAATTTAAAAAAAACTGTTCAGAAGTAATCGTAATAACAACAACATTTCTAGTAAACGACAATACTTAAGCAGTAATTTACAAATAATGTGCATGTGCAGAAATGTCGACGGTCCTGCAACACTGAAATAATTCGTCATGTTTATATATTGCAACAAAAATCACCACAAACATCAAGAATTTTTAAAACCAACGCAACGTATACATGAAAATGAAGAAGTTGAATTGTTAAGAGTGACGAACAAGACGCCGTCTACAGATATATCAGAATAAAAAAGGCGAAGGGATCGTGAAATTCGATTTATGCTAAATGCTGGAGTCAGTGCTTGTGATTAGGAAGTTGCAAAGAAGTTTCTACTAAGTTACTGTGAAGTAAAATACTGAGTTCAAAGTTGAGGTTAACTTGAGATTGTAATCACACCTCCTGGTGGTAGAAAAAAACAACAGACCACTGAGAGAAGGAATATCTTCATTGGTAAAACCTCAAACTTAGGTATCCTATCAAAGATTTCTTTTTGAATCTTATAGATCCAGATTTTAAATGCAGCTTTTAGATAATCTTTGTAGCTTTGCAAATGTCTTTTGTTGATGCTAAGGCTAATTTATGCAAAGTTTCGTCGTAATAAATAATCAAAAATCTGAAATTTTCTGATTTCCTCATCAATCTGATATTGAATATTGTTACGTCATTCACAAATGACTATGCAAATTATTAAAATATATATTCATATGTCTGTTTTGTAACGTAAACTTTAGGGTAAAATATCTTTTTTTTTTAATTTTTCTAAAGGTTGTTTGACAGGATACTGCAGTTGGTAAAAGCTGTAGCACACATGCTCTCTGTCATTATTAGTTTTTAGGTTCTTTTGTAATTTTAAGACGATTTTTGGTGAAGTTAAATCAATTTAAAAATAAGTTTGATTTCGTCATCATGTAAATTCGGACTTCAATAGAACCTAATAAGGATTGTATAATATTTTTTTATTTGCTTGATTTTTACCTTGTTGATATATACCAAATTTTTTTACAGATGGAATCGTCAGGAATAAGAAATCTGTCTTACATTCAGCAAATAATTAACGTGGTGCAAAAGGAACTTGCTCAGTTTTTCATTAAACAATGGAACCTTCGTTACAAATCAACTTATGGAGTATGGGATGATACACACAACAGTGGGAACAAATTTTACAATTTAGAATCAAGAAGAAAGTTAGCCGATAAAACTCGACAAAAATATCAAGATGGAGATACCAGTAAGTGGGACTGTACGATATTATTTGATGCAATAATTTTTTCAAATTCAATTGGAAAGCACCTTGATAAAAAAACAAACGATGCTGTTCATGCACTTCGTTGTGAAAGAAACAAGTACGCACATTGGTATGAAAGCGAATGTTCAAATGATGATTTTGATGATATAGTCAACATCATTGAAAAATCATTTCAAGATTTAAAATTTTCTCTTGATGAAATCAATAAAATAAAAAATCATCGAAACTGTTTTAATTCGTTCCAAGTTCTTCCTTCAAAATCTAATCATTTTTTTGTTGAGCGCACTGAATTACGAGATAAAATTATAAAAGATCTTGAAAAATTAAGCAATGATAACAATGATAAACTGACATATTTTTACATCACTGGTAATCCTGGCAGTGGTAAATCGCAACTTGCAAGACAGGTTTGTGAAAAAATATCGTGTGATTGGAAAAATAGAACTTCGTTTGTAATGACTCTCGATGGAAAAAATGAGGAATCTCTTTTAAAAACTTACTGTGAACTTGGATACCTTTTAAACTGTGACAAGTATATGATTAAAAAATTTGAAGATGAAAATTGTTCCATCGCAGACAAAGTGAAGAATTTGAGATCGTTAGTATCCACACGATTAAAATTCTGGCAAAATTGGTTGATCATTGTAGACAACGTGGCACAGCTTAGCAAAATTTCTTCATTACTCCCCAAAGTTGGTGATCCCATGTGGATAAATGGACAAATCATAGTAATTATCCAGAACACAGATGCCGTACCTCAAGACGATGAGTTTAACAAACATATTTCTATCAGAAGTGGAATGAATGATAGGGAATGTTTTCAACTGTTGAAGCATTACACTATTGAAAATGATGATGATCAATTGTTGAATGAAGTATCGCACGCATTAGATCGTCAACCGCTGGCTTTGGCTGCTGCTGGTTATTATGTCAGTCGTGTAAACAAAGCAAACTGCTCATTTACTTGGAAACAATATTTAAAGAAAATATTTTCAGAACAACAAGAAAACATGGACGCCACTTTTGTTAAATTTAACTCGGAATATCCTAGAAGTATGCTACAAGCTTCACTTTTGGCTGTCAGACAAAATGCTGAAGAATCCTCAATATTGGCAAATGTTATTAACTTTTTTTCCGTGATATCGTTTGATCCTATACCACGAGACATTATTGTTTTTTATGTTCAAAAAATAGATCCCAAACACTCAAAGGAAGATATATGTCTTTGTTTACAGGACTGCTCATTGTTCTTGCATTCAGAAAATAATGACATTAGTCTACATCGCATTGTTCACAAAGCAATTATTGTTTATCAATCTGAACATTCAAATGAAGAACATGAAATGGAAACTAACGTTGATCAAATATCTAAAGCACTTTACATGTTTAAAGAGAGAGACGACGAAATCAAATTAATGCCACATCTTGAAAAAATTGTTCAATTATTAAAGACCAACAAGACAAAAATCAACATGAACACTTTACAAGTTTTCGCATATTTTGTTCAGAAATTAAGACATTTTGGAAAATACGATCTTGCTCTTGAACTATTGGATAAATTTAAATCAGAAGCATTTACTATTGACAAAGCTTGGTATTTTTCTGAGCTCGGTGCTTTAAACCATCACACTGGGAATTATAGCAAAGCTAAAAATCATCACAAAAAAGCTCTGGAAATTCGAAAACAGTCGTTAGGTGCAAATCATGTTGATGTCGCTACGTGTTTAAACAATATTGGTAATGTACTTGATAAAACTGGAAACTACAACAAAGCTATAGAGTATTATGAAAAAGCTCTGGAAATTCAAAAACAATCGTTAGGTCCAAATCATGTTGATGTCGCTGGGTCTTTAAACAATCTTGGTAATGTGTATAATAAAACTGGAAACTACGACAAAGCTATAGAGTATTATGAAAAAGCTCTGGAAATTCAAAAACAATCGTTAGGTCCAAATCATGTTGATGTCGCTGTGTCTTTAAACAATCTTGGTAATGTGTATAATAAAACTGGAAACTACGACAAAGCTATAGAGTATTATGAAAAAGCTCTGGAAATTCAAAAACAATCGTTAGGTCCAAATCATGTTGATGTCGCTGGGTCTTTAAACAATCTTGGTAATGTGTATAATAAAACTGGAAACTACGACAAAGCTATAGAGTATTATGAAAAAGCTCTGGAAATTCAAAAACAATCGTTAGGTCCAAATAATGTTGATGTCGCTACGTCTTTAAACAATCTTGGTGCGGCGTTACATAAAACTGGAAACTACGACAAAGCTATAGAGCTTTATGAAAAAGCTCTGGAAATTCAAAAACAATCGTTAGGTCCAAATCATGTTGATGTCGCTGGGTCTTTAAACAATCTTGGTATAGTGTATAGTGATACTGGAAACAACAACAAAGCTATAGAGTTTCATGAAAAAGCTCTGGAAATTCAAAAACAATCGTTAGGTCCAAATCATGTTGATGTCGCTACGTCTTTAAACAATCTTGGTATGGTGTTACATAAAACTGGAAACTACGACAAAGCTATAGAGTTTCATGAAAAAGCTCTGGAAATTCAAAAACAATCGTTAGGTCCAAATCATGTTGATGTTGCTGCGTCTTTAAACAATCTTGGTACGGTGTTACATGAAACTGGAAACTACGACAAAGCTATAGAGCTTTATGAAAAGGCTCTGGAAATTAAAAAACAATCGTTAGGTCCAAATCATGTTAATGTTGCTGCGTCTTTAAACAATCTTGGTTTATTGTATAAAAAAACTGAAAACTACGACAAAGCTATAGAGTTTTACGAAAAAGCTCTGGAAATTAAAAAACAATCGTTAGGTCCAAATCATGTTGATGTCGCTACGTCTTTAAACAAACTTGGTATTGTGTATATTATAACTGGAAACTACGACAAAGGTTTTGAGCTTCACGAAAAAGCTCTGGAAATTAAAAAACAATCGTTAGGTCCAAATCATGTTGATGTCGCTCAGTCTTTAAACAATCTTGGTAGTGTGTATTATAGTACTGGAAACTACGACAAAGCTATAGAGTTTTACGAAAAAGCTCTGGAAATTCGAAAACAATCGTTAGGTCCAAATCATGTTGATGTCGCTCAGTCTTTAAACAATCTTGGTAGTGTGTATTATAAAACTGGAAACTACGACAAAGCTATAGAGTTTTACGAAAAAGCTCTGGAAATGAAAAAACAATCGTTAGGTCCAAATCATGTTAGTGTCGCTGTGTCTTTAAACAATCTTGGTTTGCTGTTTTATAAAACTGGAAATTACGACAAAGCTATAGAGTTTCACGAAAAAGCTCTGGAAATTCGAAAACAATCGTTAGGTCCAAATCATGTTTGTGTCGCTACATCTTTAAACAATCTTGGTAATGTGTTTAATAAAACTGGAAACTACGACAAAGCTATAGAGCTTCACGAAAAATCCAAGGAAATTCGCAAAAAAAAACGTTAGGAACTAGTCAGGTTGATGTTGCTAAGTCTTTTAAACAATCTAGGTGTGTTGTATTATGAAACTCGGGAATATGACAAAGCTTTACAGTTACACTTTGGTAGCTACGTGTTTCAAAGAAAATTGTGCCTTCTAAATTATGTTAAGCCTATTTTTAACACATAGACCGTAGGAGCAAGGCTTCCACCTGCCAAGTCAGCTCCCCTCTCCCTCAGAAGGTATTTTTGGTAGTAAATAAAACGTTTGCAATTTGCATTTTGTGAGGTAAAATGAACCTAAAGATGTAATGATCCTTGTCTATATATAGTTTCACTGATATCTAGTCAATAAACTTACTCTACAGCCCAGAAATCATCCTAAGTAAAACTTAGAACTGCCCATGCCCTGAATCTGACATTCTTCTTTAGACTTTATTTCTAAAGTAATTTGCTTTTATGTTATAACCAAGTAGGAATTTTTATTGTATGATTTACAAACATACTAAAGTATATTGGGATGACAGAATTATAATAAATAAATACTATCCTGTTAGTTGTTTGTATTCTTTGATACATTCAGTAATTTTTTACCAAGCTCCATAAGCCTATGACCATATTCCAGGTTCCTATAATTTCCAAGGGGTACACCTTTCATACCATACATACCACCGCACCAAGCTGCAGCCAATATTCCTGTACTGTCACTATCTCCACCATGAAACATAAAACAAGAACACAATTGAAACCAGGAATCTTTTGCCATCATCAAAACATTGTAAGCAATCATTGGTGCATCATGACCACTGGACCCACCCCAACCTGCATAACTGACAGATTTATAAAAAGCATCACGTTCAGGTATGTTATATGTCACTGGAAACTTTGGTTCGCTGGTTCCATTCATTAATCCCCGTAGTTCAAGATATGACTCCCAACTATTTTTAAAGTAGCCCCAAGATTTCTTGTTTTCTTCTACATCACGACCAACCTTCTCAATGTATTCCCAAACTTTGGGTAAAACACTTAAAAGTCCTGCTACCCATTTTTTTGGAGCCATCTTCTGTATAACATAGGCTGTAAATAAAGCTGCAGTAACAGCCCCAAGATAACCTATAATTAAAATCATTATCTTTAAAGATTGCTAATTTTAGGTCACTTACATTATGATGACCCTATTTACATAATAGTAGCATTTTGATATTGATCATGGATTGAATGGCTGTAGTAGTGAAGATATTGAAGCAAAACAGCAATGGCAAATTGAACAGTTTTTAGAAGACTGAAATTTGGAAATGTGGAAAAGTGATAAAAGGGATGGATCAAAGATATGGTCATTTAAAGTGAGCAATGTTAGAAGGATGGAGGCATTTGAGATGTGGTTCTAGAAAATGATGGATTGCATAGACTTATGCAAACCTACATTCATGGTAATGGCTTGTTCAAGTAAGTAATCGAAGGAAGAGTTGAAGATAAAACATCTAAGAAAAGCAAAACAATTGAAAAGCTAAATTACTATAAGGTTTGTTAAAATGAAAAGCAATGCAGATAACAGGAAAACCTAGCAAACTTTATACAAAGCAACACTTGTTGATAGACAAAACACTAGACATTAGTGACTTGATAATTGATACATGATCTGAAATCGTTGCTTTATTATGAAAGGTGAATACCTGTGGGGTGATTATGAGTCATCCTTCCACTTTCAACAGTAATTTCAATTAACATTTCAATTTGATCTTCACAAGGAAACATCAAACCTATACACATGGATCTCATAGCTTCACCACATCCGCCACCTCGTTCATTAAATGGTATAATGTAACCTTTTTCCTCAAGAGGTCGTAACATGAAACATGCCTTTGTTGTAGTCTGCCCAGGAGCTCTTTCCCACATATCCTCAGCACATGTCTTCTTGTACTTTGTAGCCATAATGCTCAATAACTCTTCCGTTGTTGTCCATTTAGAAACCAACGCTTCTGCTGTAGCAATGTGTAGTACAGTGTCGTCACTAACCCTCCATCCTTTAATGTCAATTTTATCAAGTCCTCCGAGTTTTTCTAGTTCTTCATGAATTTGAGTACCACTGTAACAGAATTCCAACAAACCATTGTTATAACCTAGAGAATCCCCCACTCCACTGAGAACCATAACTGCTTCGTATTTCTCGGATAATTGGACCGTATTTTCAAGAGCCATTTTTAATATGTTTACTTCACCGTAGTTTAATGAATTTTTTTGAAACACGGGGAAAGTACTAAGCTTCCCTCAACTTAGTCAACTAATAAAAACGTAAAATCTTTTCTTTGCCTTGTTTCAATATTGTTTCATACTATTGTTTAGATTTAGACGAGAGCGTTGGGAGACTGGGACTGTTATTTTGTAATCCTTAATCTTTACCCGATTCCATGATCTTCAATCTGATTAACATGTTGCTTCTTGCGAAGATTCTTTAAAATTTAAAAGTTCCTTCCTTATATCATGGATTATCCGACACGGATTTAATTCAAACTTGACAATTTGATTGCACATAAAACAATTGGTACAAACTTCACAAAATTTCAGCTCTTGGCAAATCCTTAGGTTTTATAATTTTATGGCACATCCCATTGTTATAAATATGTCACTAAAATTAATTTAACCAGGTCGACCTCCACCATATGGTGATTTAGAACTAAAATCAATGTGTTTTGCGAATCCAAACGTACTATATAGGAAGGTACGTTGACTAACTGTTTACGAGCCCTGATATCAAACAATTGACAATTGAAATGTGATGAGCCTTTAGTCCACATGATTAAAAGAGTTCCATCAATTAAAATGATTTTTAACTCATCAAAACTTCAATTCAACCTTATATGACGCTGGAATTTTGAAACTCTAGCATGATGGATGGATTTTGCCAGACCCAATTTGAAAACTTGAGTTTGAAGACGTCGCTCCAAGAAGTCTTCAATACGAAGGCCTAAAACAAAATCGAGCTTCATGCGGCTTTCATCCAAAACCCCGATACGTACAAGACGACGTAGCAATGCGTCGCCTTCGAACAAACGTTGCCCTTCGCGGGTCTTTTTCGTCTAGAGTCAGCAACTCTCGAGCAGCTTTGCGAATCTTAGCCAAAGTGTACTTAACACCATACTTCGCGCTTATTTCTTAACTCTTACTCCCCAATTATCTTCAATTCTTGATCCAAGCGTTCTTTCTCAAAAGGACGACGAGGAGTCGTGGAAGTCTTCGAACAAACTGGCTTAGGCATCTTGACCACTTCAAGATGGCGTCGAAAAAAGAAAGAAGGAAGAAAAAGACACGTGCTAATACCAGCGTGCACCGCGGGCACGCGATTGATTATTGGGAAATTTTACTGAAGAAATGTAAAATAAGAAAACGAAAGTGCTCTAAAATGAGTTAACAAAATGGCGACTTTCGTTGGAGCGATGAAAGTGCATTTGAAATTGCCATCGAGATATTTGCTAACAACATCATTTTTCAAAGCAAATAAGCACATGTTGATTTGTAATTGTAAAAGGTAAATTATTGGGGTGCTATATGTCCTTAAATGCAGATTTTATATGTGTAGGCAAGATGTCGACAAGTTGCAAATGTGCAACTGTTGTACTGCTTATGCAATCTTTTGAATTCTTGTGGATCTTTTGGACTCGCTAGATTACCAGACTCAACATTCAACTAATTTTTCTTTTTCAGAACTGTTTCTCCACTCATACGTCTACACGTTTATCCTAAAAAGCATTACTCTTCATCATCAAGTGAAGAAATTTCAAAAGATGAACCAATAGCATTTTCAAAGTCTGCTGCGAAAAATCATACAGTAAATGACACTTTATACCATGATAGTGGTCGACGAAGCTCCTTTACTGTATTGGTGATAACATTTGGCATGCTTTTTTGCATTATATATTTTGGATTTTTACGCCAGGAAGGTGAAACTGAACAGAAAATTTTTAATAAGATTCTTGAACTACAGAAATCAAATGCATCTGAAGAATCAGAGAATGATCCTGTTGAAAATAATACTTAGGAATTGTTCTAAATGTGGTTACGTTTGGATAATAAATGATACAGATGGACTTGAACTTAAACTTTTTACAAAATGTATCCTATCATGTACCTATACACAAGAATATTTTTAAAAAATCCAACATTGTTGTTTTTCAAGGAATTTTCATAATTCTGATATTAAATAACAATAATTTTAAAGTGAAACCATATCCATTCATGGACACTTTTATTACCTCTTAATCAAGAATATTTTTGAAAATGCAGATGTAAATTTTTTAAATATATTTATTTGCATTCCTACATTAAAAAATAGCCTCAAGCCTTCTTTACAGTGTGCAAATTAACGGTGTGCAATGTGCAATTTGCACATCGTTTTAGCTAAAATGAGAACAATTGCACATCACTTTTTTCAAACGATGTGCAAAAATCAGCGGTTATAACGAAAAACACTGTCGTAAATCATATGAATTTGTTCACGTTTAAAAATATTAATTTAGCAATTAGCGCTATGTAATAATGAACGTAATATCGATTTGATTATGCCTCTAAAGAAACACTTTTGTCAAAAAAATTGCACATCGGTATTTCTCAACTAATTCGCACACTGCTTCTTTCCACTAGCCACGTATCTTAACGTATCGTAGCAAAACGCAACATGGCGCATGCGTGCTTGTGAATTTGATGGTCAATACGCACAATCACGCATGCGCCATGTTACGTTTTGCTACGATACGTTACGATACGTGGCTAGTGGAAAACAGGCTTTACAGTCGAATATACTGAACACCAGGATTTGTTGTGGCTATTGCCTGAATTATATTAGAGATTTGACCTGTTAACAGGCCTAACTAAATAAAAGGTTTATTATTATTACACTTACGGTTTTCGACGAATCCTTGGCAGTTCGACGACAGACTACGATGAATGACAAATCTCATGCCAATTGTGAAGATGAAACGATCGGATGTTGAGCAAGGACAGCCACAAAAAAGCCCAAAATAGTTTTTTGAAAATTTCAGAACGTTGATGGTGAAACCATTGTATCCAATTGTCAGGCTACCTGACAAACATTCCCGCTTTTATGTCGACGACGGCAAGCACAGAAACAAGATTGGCCATTTCTTGCATTTGTGCATGTCGTCTAGGGCATTAAACCCGAAATATCGACAGCCAGGCGGAAAATTAGGATTTTTAGGTTTTTCATTTTCATGTTAAAGAAATTCCATGTTTTTATTACCAAAATTTTCAATTGAATGATGTTGAAATTTGGGCATTTGATAGCGGTGTGGTTTTATCCATCATTGCGATTGATTGACCAGTCGTGATGTTAGCAGGAAAACTCCCAGGAAAATGTTTTAGAAAAGGTCATAATATTGAGTTTTCCATGGAAACAGGCGTTAGGCTGATGGATGCATTGCTCCAGAAGAGTGTTTAGCGTTTGCATTCTTTGTAGAGATGGTCTTTAGGGCATTAGAAGTCACGTATTTTTCAATTTCATCAAAGTATATTGTTCATTCTTGATCATTCTTCAGAGGACTCGTTAAAGTACACTGCCCACTCTTGATCATCGTTCAGAGGTCTTTATTAAAGTAAATTGTTCATTCTTGAGCATTCTTCAGAGGACTTCATTAAAGTATGCTGTTCATTCTTGATCATTGTTCAGAGGATTTCATTAAAGTACGTATATTGTCCATTCTTGATCAAAAGGTTTCTACATAGGACAATTGAAGCCAATGTCAGTTCACAGTACTATGCTTCCATAAATGAAAAACATTGATAACATACTTACAATTGAACATTTTATTCACTAGTAATGTAGTTCAAGGGAAGAAGAATTTCAACCAAATTACAGAATTGTATTTTGTTCTTATGTTTAGATGAGCGTCGAGGAACTGGTCGACAACAGCCACAATTCTCTTCAACCGCTGTGAACAATAACCACTTTCTTTAATTGTGGAGTCTACGATCATGGTGAATACACCAACATTTGTTCGTTGTTTCTCTATCTCAGTTGATGACTTATTGCCGTTTAAGAGAAGAATGTCCATGTCTAAAATCAAGCATAGAGGAAACAAAAGTTATTAAGACGGAAACTTTATGGAAAGGCCACACTGCACTTTGCATTAATGAACATCACATGCAGTGTCCCAATTCAATGTTTACTTAATGCAAAAGAACTTGAAACAAGACATTTACCTGAACATTTTTTCAAAGCACTCCAAGAGATATATGACCGTGGAATAATTTCGACTTCGGCTAACTATTCTTCGTGAAACTACAGACTTTCATGTTCAAATGGCACGTTCTTAGTCTTAGACTATGGCCCAGGTTTCACGAACATGTTGTATTCTGATTGGTCAGTGACTAGGTGTGTTGTAAACGTGTTGTGTTCTGATTGGTCAATTACTAGGTGTATCGTGCCTGCGTCAAGCAATAAAATATAAATATTAAAGCATCCTGAAACGAAAACTACATAAATCAGATTTAGGAAATAGAATTTCCAGTTGTAAGTCAGGACGCCATTTTGAAGTTTACCTGTCATAGTGTCATTATTTTTTTTTATGTCTAGAATTTTGTTAAATTTGTCACAAAAAACCTGAATGTCATTTTCGTGGTGGAATTTGCACTTTATATGTTTTACATTGATAAATCTGTTGATTTTCGTGGGATTTTCGCAATAACACATTGGATAATTTATCATTTTAAAATAATGGCCTTTCTTGCATTGTCACCAACAATTAATTTCATTAGTCTTTTCAAATATCATTGGTACGGCAGGGCTAATAAATCAGCAAGATGAATCAAAATTATGACACGTCACAGAATTTCAGTTTTGCATATCATTATATGCAATAATTTTAATTTTATCTCACATGGCTTTTTTTCCTCATTCACACAGTCATCTATCTTTTTATCTTATTCTTATCACAGATAATGACATGAAAATGTTTTGCTTCGTATGTCTTTAGAAATTGCGCCTACTTGGAGTGAAAAGCTTACTTCTTCACGTGATGGTACACGTGATTTTTTCTGGTCCATAATTCTTCAACTTGTTGTAAGATAGACTATTTAAAATATTTGTTTGCGTCAAAAGTTCACAAAATGACAAAACTTTGCATGATGAACTGTCAAGTCCAAACGCCATCAATTTTGAAGTATCTCTGATTACTGAGATGTGGCAAAATTAATCAAAATTAGAGACTTCCAGATTAATTTCTCTGAAAATCCCTATTCAATTAAAGACTTCCCTAAAATCTTAAGTCAACAAACTTTTACTTGCCTCTCACGCCCCTTATCAAATTAATTGTTTATCCCGATAAAAAGTTCACAAAATGACAAAACTTCATTGACCACGTTTCAAAGTTGGAATGCTGACAATTTCTGAGAAGCTCTGTTTATGGATTTTCTTAAC